ATATATATATATAATATATATATATATATATAGATATTAGAAACATCAGAATCGCACATATATAACAATTTTGTTTTAATTTATACAGATCTTAATAATTATAAACAACAAACATAAATTTGATTTTACTAATTATCAGATATTATAACTGTAGAATTGTTACAATTATTGTGTGTTGCAAATGGAGAAATGTAGGAATTCAGGCGAGCAGCATAAACAGTTTCCCATCCAGCAGACCGTGATGATCTGTTGTGACGCCAAAGTGGTAAAATAGTAGGCATTGGATATCCTCCATGTAAATCAACCTTCACATAATGATCACCTCTAACAAGAGCAATAACAACAACTCTATGAGTTGAGATGTCTTGGGGACCAAGCCATAGTGGAAAACATGTTGACGGACTATCTTTGCTTAGAAAAATAACTATTACATTATACTTGTTAGCAATGAGAAAGCTAGTGACCGGCATAATCAACCAATGATCTGTTGGTGCGAAATGTGATCCATTGAAATTCAATGAGTGGTGTATGGTGTTTAAATCGTAATCAAAAATCTGTGCGTACTCAGCTGGGTGTGCTAACAACTCATTCTGTAAATCTAAGCGGATTTGACGCCAATTATCTTCACTATAACCGAGACACGCAGCTATTGCAATTGCACGAAATCCACAATTTCCATCTCCCCTCACGTTTTGTATGTTTGTGACATATGATGAAATTCATACGGAATTTCATTCATAAGTGGATCTGAATTATACATTACTTGTTCTTGGTTGAAGTACGAGCTATGCATCGATTGTTCCTGATTAAAAGTTGAGTTGAACATTGGAGGTTCTCGGAACGAGTACGTACTGTGCCTATCCGGCTCCTGGTTTAGATCAAACAAATTAGACCGCATATAATCAGGCGTATAAGTAGAAATGCTACGTCGAGACGGATATTGAGTTGGTGGCGCTTGAGTCGGTTGATCTTGAGGTGGTGGATGTTGAGTTGGTGGGTCGTGGTTTAAATCGATATGGGTTTTCTTGAAAAGTTTCTTCTTTAAGGAGGGGCGCCCACGAGTATTTTTGTGAGTAGCAGGTTCAGAAACTGAAGTTGTTGACGGCGTGATTAAGTTTAGTAACTTCCTTGCTAAACTTAACTTAACAGGTCTTGATTGTTTTTCGTAATGAGCATTAAACATATTTACCTCAACTGCACAACCCAATTTATCATCTTCTAACGATTTGCATTCTAATAAATCAAGTTTCTTCCAAAACTTATCTACTGAATGAAGCGGTACACAATGACCTTTTTTAACAAATATAGCTTGTTCATGCGCACATGGCAGCCCATAACTTGTACGTACTTGACATCCACAATTTTCATAAACAAATCCAAATTCTTTGGACCGCTCATATTCTTTGAAAATGATATCAAGTGCATAAATTGAAACGAAACGACACAATGGTTTTAGATGTGGTATTTCGTAGTACCGATGTACAATGAAAATTTTGTTATGCGCAAGACTCGCTTTTATACCTGTGTATTGTGACTCAACAACATCAGCAATACGCTTCAATGATTTGGCGATATCTGATCTTGATGTTTCGACATATCTTTTTAACTTGGCATGTTGACTTTCAGCTCTATTAGTTGTGTGATTGCCAAAGTTAAGAAACTTATCGGTCCATGCAGACACAAACTTTTCTTTGTGTGGTGTCAACCATGTTTTGTTTAGATAAGAAAATGCATCTGAAATACATAAAAAATTTCAGTTGATGTAATGATTTTGGTTTGACATTTTTTTTCAACAAATCTTCCACTATTCGACATTCATATTCAGTTAGTCGTCGTGGATAAGGATGACCTTCTAAATATAATGACGGCTCATGGTTATGAAATTCACATATCATTTTTATCTTCCAAGAATTATCTACTGACGAATATTTACCCTGTAGGCTAAATGGACAATTAATTTTTTTTGTCCCTGTTTTTTTTTTGGAGATTTGTGTACTTTTGTATGTACCTCCACGGTCACATTGAAATACAACATTAAAGTTACGTTTAGAATTTTTTATGACGATGACATAACCTAAAGTATTTGCCATATTTTGCACCCAATCCATCAATTCTTGACGAGAATTGAACACCTGACAATTATATTATTATCAGTAGCAGACAAATCCACTTGATGCTTACATTACAGTAACAACATACTAATGAATTTATACCTTATTTGTTTTGAAGGGTGACGTGTCATCAAAGAAATAACGACTTTCGTTCAAACTTTCATTTTCATATGTTTCATTTGTGTCCATTGGATGAATATCCGTTTCGAATGGTGATGTGTCGTCGAAAAAATAGTTACTTTCATTGAAGCTATTATTTTCATCTATTTCATTTGTCTCCATTGGATGAATATCATCTCTCTAAACATAACAAAGAGAAAAAAATATATAATAATAATAATAATAATAATAACAATAATAATAATAATAATAATAAGAAAGGTTAAGTACAAATACCTCATAATATGTGTCACCCATCCATTCTTTCCAACTTGTCATTTAATAAAATCTATATTTTTAACAAATATCATATATTTGCTTTTAAGGAAAGTTACTTTCAGCAAGTCGCTTTCAATGTACCATATAAGAAATACGAATCCTCTATATATAGAAAGAAATTGTAACCAAATTTTATTTTTATCCCTTCTATTTTTGTTAATGTTTCATAGTTTATATTTCTTATTTAACAAATTAATTTTTTTCTATTAATATTTAATAATATTCATTATTACTTTTTTTATAAATGTATTCATGAGATCATTTTAATTAAACAACTTTTATGAATATTAATATGTTTCTACTTGTTAGTTTTCAAAATTAATAAGTTTTAAGGGTTTAAGATTTAAATTGATAAAATCTAGGGTCTTTTCTAAAACTACAATGTAAACCGAAGGTATAAAATTGTAATATTATATTTTATCGATAAAATAATTCGGCACACATATTAATCGGCACACATATTTATCGATAAAATAATTCGGCACGCAATTCAATGCAACAAATACACGAAAAATTCGTGTATAGAGGAGGACCCTGAGTTTTTAATATATTTTATCATTTTTCATTTAATGCCTCTTATTTTCTATTAAAGTAACAAAATCTACCTTCCACTTTCCACTTTCCACTTTATAGTTTTTATTTTACTGTTTTGTTTATTGATTTGTTTTATTAACTAAACTTATTATATATATATATATATATATATATATATATATATATATATATATATATATATATATATACTAAAACACATGGTTATTATTATTATTATTTTCAACATTATCTCTTTTTAATGATTGAGAATTTTAAAGTGTTCAACACCAACTAAAAAATGTTTTATATATATATATATATATATATATATATATATATATATATATATATATATATATATATATATAATATTAAAATAAAAATGATGATAAAGTATGATCATCCCCATCGAGGGTTTTATGATTAATAGGTTAAAAAGTGGTATTATAACATTGAATGGAATAAAAATGCATTATAGCTAGAATGTAATGAATGAGAAGTTCAATCCCCATTGAATCATGTATAACCAATAGTAAAAATAATATATTTAAAATTAAAATTAATAATATAATAAAATATAATATAATTAATTAGGAAAACGTTAGAGTTATAAAACATAAAAAAAAAAAATTATTGACTAATATATTTAAATGGTTTATAAAACAAAAGAAAAAAAGTTTTCTAATATGATATATTTATACGGTGATGGTTGATAGAAAACAAATAGGAAAGAGTTATAAATTAAAATAAAACTTTTTTTTAACCATATAACAAAAAATAATAAAGTTTAAAGTAAATACTATAAAACATTAAGGGTGTATTTTGAAAAATCTTTGCAAGTTGAGGGACAAATTAATTTATCTTGTCAAATGTCATATCTGACCTTTATATACGAATCCTTCGTGCATATAGGAGTACCCAAATTTCCATCGTCAAAATCATTTATTCAAAATTGATGTGACGATGACATAACCTAAAGTATTTGCCACATTTTACACCCAATCCATCAATTCTTGAGGAGAATTGAACACCTGCCAATTATATTATTATCAGTAGCTAACAAATCCACTCGATGCTAACATTATTGTAACAATATACTAATGAATTTATACAATATCCGATTTGAATTGTGATGTGTCATCGAAAAAATAATTACTTTCATCTGCTTCATTTATGTCCATTGGATGGATATCCGTTTCGAACGGTGATGTGTCCAACCCTAAAGACTTAAGGTGCTTATATATGGTGCAACACCCTAAATTAGGGTTTCATTAGGTCACACGTAAGCTTCGTATGAGATTTCCTATTTTGATTTAACGGTTCTTTTGTCATTTTTAGGTTTTTCTAATACATATTAAATTATGATTAATTTTACTTAAATAATGGTTTTAGCAAATGGGTTAAAAAAGTTATAAATTGATTGATGTTAATAATATGAATTTTAAAAATAATAAAATATATTATTAACGTTTTGATGAAAAATAAATTTATTGAAAATGGTTAGAATACATACCTTAACATTTTAATTGATATTATTTTGAATATATATTTTTAAGATTTTTAGTATTTATTTTTATATGTGTATTTCATATAAAGTTGTTGAAATTAAAAAGAATAAAAATTAGAAGAGTTTGTTTTGTAACTTACATCTAATTGAAAGGGAATAAAATGTAAAATATAAAAACAATTGAAAAATAAAGAATCGAAAACAAATATGATGATGGGATTGATTGTCTACTGATTGCTTATACACGAATAAATTCGTGCTAATAGGAGCACCCCTTGTGAAAGGACATTATCAAACTTCCCATCAAGTGTAACATTTTCCCAAAATTCTCTTTTTCTTTTCACACAAAGCAATAATAGATATCAAGACAATTTTAAGACCACAAAAATTAGGCATTAGCATACAAAAAACGTCCAACGAATCAACGATTACTAAAAATATGAGTAAATTATGATTTTATGCAAAAGGAAATGGTTACGTGATCAATAAACAAGAAATTTATTCCTCATTTAATACTTAATATCCATGGAAATTTTCAGGATATCAAAGCTTAAATTAGGTTTCATAACTCTAACTTCAAAAACTATGGAATTTTGAAGCTTGATCCTCCTAATTGCTTATACCTAATAATTGATAATCGATCAATCATCTAAAAGCTAAAACGAAAGTTGTTTAATCGAACAAATGAAGATGATGAAGATAAACCGGTAGCAGTTTGAATTTTCCGGTTCAACGGTGGTGGTGGATCTCGCCGGCTCTTGGAGAATCCAAACTTCTGAAAAGAAGCTGTTTCACGGCGGAGATGAGTTCTTCCGTTGGATTTGACGGCGGCGAACTCACCGACGACCGGAAGTTCTTACAGAATCTCATATGTCGATCCAACGCTTCTTCCTCTGACTCCGAACAAGATCTCTCCATCTCCTCCTTCACAGCCTCCGTACAAAGTCCACAAATCCACCGCCCCTGATTGCTTTCTCTCACCGTCGCAATATACGTCGGCGTACATTCCTCCGTCAGCCCGCAGCACTCGCATTTCACAAACTCCACATCGCCACCGCCGTCCACCTTCACCGACGTTAATTTCGCTTCGATACCAGACATCAGAATCGTATCCTTCACCATTATCGCCGTCATTCAATACCAAAATCAACCAATCAGAAAAAAAATAATAAACAACTCTCAATTCGGAAATCTCAATCAAGAATCTGCACTACGCACACTTTATAACAGTCAAAAAATTCAAAATCGATACGAAATTAATGACAAATTGTTTTGAAAAAAACAACAAACAGACTTACCGTTGTTCGTAATTGACTAGAAAGACGTTCCAATTTCCAATCTCAAGCTTTTCAACAATGGTGATTATGAGATTACGACCAAATGGGAAATAAAAAAAGAGAAGTTAACGTTCCTTCTCCCACTCGCCTTCTTCTTCAACAACCTCTCCACCGATGAGCAATAGCTTGAAGGATGAAAATTTCATATACATTTCAGAGCCCTTTTTGGCTCGAAATTTTTGATCAAATTGAGAGTAACAAGAGAAGAGAAGGGAAGCAAAGCTTCAGGGTTTCTCTGTGTGTAAGAGAGATAGATGCGTCTACATATAAGAGTGAGGTGGGGAAGACGACAGGGGATTGCCAGCTCTGATTATTTGGCTGTTTTGAGGACCTGTAAGTTTCAGTACCCCTCAGCATAAAGGAAGAATCACATGGGTTACGTCTCACTGGTGCATGCCTGCTCTCATGTCTTATCGTTAAATCCAGCCGTTGATTTGGGGCTTCTGAAATAGATAAAGATAGCTTCTTTTGTGTTTATCACTTTATCTTGTTTTAGTTACTTTTAAGTAGATTACATTTTTATATTTAAAACAACTTTTTTCTGCTTTTGATTATTAACGGATGTTGCTTTTCTTTGTTTGTTTGTGTGTATAAGATAAAAGAGTACAGTTTTGGTCCTATCTTTGAAATTTTAATAAGATATATAAATTCTACCTAAAAATGAAACATGCTTTTAAAAAATTACATCTACCTCATCTAATAAATTCTACCTAAAAGACACATGTTAGTTTTTTTAGAATATCTTTTTGATATATGGTATTTTTCTATGTTTTTTATTATTTTTTTAGTAATAAATCAAATTCAATTCAAATTTTGAAAATACAAAATCATATCCTAATAAAATTATTATGTTTATTTTGCTTAACAAATTAATTCATAATTATTTACAAACGACAATATCTTTGTTTTTTTGACATTTATTATTATTTTTATTTAAATAAAAATTTTAAATATAGCAACCGTGGTTTCCACGGATTATAACCTAGTTTTCTTATAAAAATACCAATTTACCATTTTTTATATCTTTTTGATTTTCTTTTATATATATATATATATATATATATATATATATATATATATATATAATATATATATATATATATATATAGTGGCGAATCTAAACAAAATATCATGTGTTTCCCAAATTAAGTAAAACCAATAATAAAATCAACAACACTTGTGAGGGGTCGGGTCGGATACGGTTTAATGAAATATAACTGAAAAAACCGACCAATCATCACCAATTAAAATTTTAAAAAACCGACTGAAATATAATTGAAAAAAACGAATAATTTAATGAAAAACTAGTTGATTATTAGTGCATTGATACGTTATTGTTTGATAAAAGCTATATATTATATTTAACCCTATATATTTAACAACACAAATGTCTCATGTAGCTTAGTTTTTTCTCCTTTTAAAATGGTATTTTAAGACATTTTTTTAAAAAATAAACTCAATGCCGGTTCTTTATTTTTTCTAAGGTAGTTCCTAATTTTTGTGGTATATATATTATAAATGAAATTCAAATTTTAGGTAGGTCCTAGGACCTACCTTCTTACTTGTTAGATACGCCCCTATATATATATATATATATATATATATATATATATATATATATATATTCACAAAACTAATTTATGTGAGTAGGAACGTTTATGGACCCTTGCTTAAAATAAATCTAATGGCTATTATAATTCATATAAATTTGAATGAAAATGATAAATTTATAATTTGTTAATTATCTACATTAGTTTTCCTTATAACCGATCTAATTTTTCCACACTCGCTATAAACCGAAGCCTTTATAGAATACGAACCAATATGATTTATGACTAGCATCAATGAATACCAAACACACTATCTAAGGAGATGAGACTTGAGAGGTCACCAAGTGAACGGAGAGTGGACGGAGGTTTGACGACGGAAGAACAACAACACACCTCAACGGAATAAAGAACACACGAACTACTATGTGTCGGGATTCCCTGACGGTACAAGAAAGGAGGAATTGTGTGAACCATTTAGTAGATTCGAGAATGTAGTGGATGTATACTTTGGATTGAAGAAGGACTATTACAAAAGAACTTTGCTTTCGTCAGATATGTCGACATCAAAGATGCCAGAGAAACGGAGTTAAAGGTACGAGGAATCAAGTGCAGAGACAAAGACATTAGAGGTAAACGTTTCAAAACATCAACGTAAAACCCTTCAAAATCACAACCAAGAACACACGTTGTTATCCCAGGCTAAGATAACACATGCATCCTAACACCTCTCATGGAGTTCCATCTTACTCTATAGAGGTGAGAGGCAACAGGACTTTCGCTCAAGTTATCAACGACACAAACAGGAAGAGGCCTCAAAAAGAAGTCCCATCGATTATACTCAATTCTTATACATTCATGAAGGACTGGTTCAAGAAAGGAGTGATAATCGGTGAAACACATAGCCTAGATCATATGCCTAAACTCCACGCCTCTGGGATCATTAAAGAAGAAACGAACTACCTAGGCGGCTTTAACGCCCGCAACTTCGGGCTAGACAATCAAGATATAATCTAAAAGAAAGTCATAGTAATCGTAAAGCGAGAGCGTGCCTATAGAGAACATGTAAATCTGACTTTGTATAAGGAAGTTATGATTTTTCGAAAGTCGCAGCAGTGCGGACACAGAAATTGAAATTCAAATGGGTTGATTGTTAACCGAAACAATATAAACGAGAGTTGAAGAACTCATGAATATGACCCCGTCGATATAAAGATAGTAGAGAATGAAGTTCGTATGAACGAATTATGAATTTTGCACGAACTTTAACAGTCTAAACCAGTCCAAATATGAATTTTAGTTAGAGTGAGAAATAGCTTTTAAAACCATAAAGAAGGTTGTAGAGTTCGTCGAGAGGATTCCTGGGATATAAAGAACGTCGAAAACGGAGCTTGTATGCGAAAGTTATGACCGTCCAAAGATTTGCATGAATTTACCTGGACTGATGACGTGGCATCACCTGGTGGCGCCATGTGACATGGTCGGGTAGACGCCCTCTCCAAGAGACACTATGACATGACACTACGAAATGGTGACACGTGGCAAAGTTCTAGAAGAAAGGACGCAGACGAACGAGAGCTGGACATGTGGCAAACAGCTGGTGGAGACATGTCAGCCATGAGGCGCGACACACTCAGTAACAGGCGCAATGCACCCCTGTTGAGGCCATATATATATATATATATATATATATATATATATATATATATCAACAGAAAACAAACCATATTCTCACACCTTTCAATTCAATTCTCTCTGGATCCCTTCCCACAGTCGCTACTGCAACAACAACAATCACCATTGCCACTAATTTCCATTCTGATCAACAATTTGTTGTGGATTTATGTTTTTTGATTTCTGTATCAAAGAACCCTAATCCCACCTCCACCCCACCAATATCCAACATCAATATTAAATTCTCCACCATGTTCTTTCTCCTCATCATCATCTACCACCGTGATTGCCACACTATCCAATTTCTGGAAACACAAATCTGATACAGAAAGAAAATGAAATGGGCAAGTTGATATGGGTGTCTTTTTTGTTCATATGGGTCTGATTTGCTGGTGAAAGGTAAAGAACAAGAAGATGGGTATGATTTGCAGGTAAGATGATGGGAGAAAAAGTCAAAGAGATATCACAGATCAAAACCTGATTGGAATCAACCTTTGAAAATGGAGCTAGGGTATAATTTTGATATCACCCTTTGAGATACCACGTATTCGTCTCCATGGACTTAAATAACTCCTATATTTGCAAACGATATATAGATTACTTGTATGTATACATGTGTGTGTGTGTGTATATATATATATATATATATATATATATATATATATATATATATATATATATATGTGTGTGTGTGTGTGTGTGTTTGTGTGTGTGAAATGTTTAATCGGCAGGTGAATGTGAGGAAGAAAAAGATGAGAGAGAGAGAGAAAAAAAAACTGAGCCCGAGAAAGAAAGTCAAAGAGAGAAGGAGAGATAAGAGGAGGGTACTATCGAGGGGTGGTTTGGGTTGGGTTAATTCTTTTGTTTTTTAAATTAAAAAAACATTGGAATAAATATTAAGAAATGTGAAAAATAAATTAAAAGGGTAAAACGGTCATTTCAAGTTTTTAGGGACCAAAACCTTGGAAAATTCTTGATTTTGGACCTTCCATGCAAATCGAAAACTTTTTGAACCTTATTCACAGTTTTTTGCAAACCACATGGACAAATTTTACAGTTTTGTAAATAAATAAATAAACAATTTTCAAACTCAATCCTAAAAAGTCCTTTGTATTTTATTAAGAACTAAAACTACGTTGGATTTATGAACTCATATGATCAAAAGGTTATAAAAAAAACTAAGTTTACTTTGTAGACACTAAAGACTAAATCACAGAGGATATGTGAGATCTAATTGAAATATGATCTTACTATCCTAAGTGCAATCAAGATCTTAGGTTCGATTTTGCTTCAAAATCGATAGAAGAAACGAAATCGTTTTTTGATCTTAGGTTCGATTTTGCTTCAAAATCGATAGAAGAAACGAAATCGTTTTTTTGTTGGTAGGATCGTTAGATATAATGATCCTATTACCTTATATCATTGTTTCGTTATATAATATCATAGAGTAACGTTATACAATATCATAGAGTAATAGTATGTTATATAACATTTATCAAAATACTAGATACTGTTCATAAAGATCAAATCAAGCTACATGTGCTTTTTAATAAATTGTATTACTTTTTGTATTTTAAGTTTTAAATAGATAAAATATAGAAATATCCTCTATGTTTTAAATAAATGAAATGACAGAATGGTTATTGTATGAGAAAAAAAATCTTAAATGGTCCATGTGTATCACATTTTTTTTAGTGAGTTACATTTTTCACTTTTGGCCCCTATACTTTTCAAATAGAAAAAAAGAACATGATTATTTTCCGTGTTTCAAATAAACAAAATGACATATCACGATATGTGTATGAGAAAGAAATATAGGAATGTTCTAGATATAACATAATTAAACAAACGATCTTTGTGTAAGACAAAATGATATAAGTGGTCCATGTGTGATCAAAAGATTTACAAAAATAGTCTCAGTAACAAAATCT